TAAAACAGAACTCTTTTCAGTTTTTTCTTTTTTGGTACATAGAACTCTTTTCAGTTGAGTCCTCAGCAATTCTTCTTCATATATATACTACCTTGTTTAAGAAACTCTCTACCTTCATTTTTCCTCAAAAAGATTCTTGCTTAGACGTGCTTGGAGAGGGGAAAAGTTTATCATGGCAGGAGAAATTGAATCCATGGCATCTAACATGAGGAGCAAGATGGGAGGTGATACTATAAGTTCATCCACGCCTTGCATCTTCAGGATTCCCAGCATACTTCGCAGGCACAATAAGGAAGCATACATTCCCAACGCGTTTCCATCGGCCCTTTTCACCATGGCAAGAAAGATCTCGAAGATAAAGAGAAGATCAAGTTTAACTACTTAGAAGGCCTTCTGTACAGAACAGGTGATCCGGACACAACACTGATGGAATGCATCAAAGAGATCGCAAAATATGAAACAGAAGCTCGAAAGTGCTATGCAGAAGAAATTCATATGAGCAAACAGGCATTCATTGAAATGTTGGTGCTTGATGGCTGCTTCATTGTTGAACTGTTCAGGAAGGATGCTGGAGAGGTTCGGAAAAGTAGAAATGATCCCATTTTCTCTACTTCCTGTATGCTTCAGTTCTTACACCATGACTTGATTTTGCTAGAAAATCAAATACCCTGGTTTGTGCTTGAGCATCTGTTTAGGTTAACAGGAGGTTGGTTTGAAACCAAGTCCCTACTTCAACTCACCTTGGATTTCTTCGAGAACATTTTTTCATCTGAGAAATCTCCCATACAACTAGATCTCTTTGCCAATCAAGAAATCCAGCACATTCTTGATTTGATAAGAAGTTCTTTGGTGTTGCCACTTGGAGAGCAGCAAGGCCAAGAAGAGGCACCTGTATCATGGTGGCCTATTCCTTCTGCCACCAGCATCAAAGATTCTGGAATCAGTTTCAGGAAAGTGAAGTCACGTAGCATCCTGGATGTCAAATTTAGGAGAGGTACTCTGGAAATGTCACCAATTCTCATCCAAGAAACCGTTGAACCTGCCTTCCGAAATCTGATCAGTTATGAGCAATGTTATCCAAATTGTTCTCCTAGAGTTACATGCTATGCTATGCGCTTGGACAACCTTATCAACAATGAAGAGGACATGGAAGAACTCAGCAAGAGTGGGATTCTTATCAACTGGCTTAACCCACATGACACGACACAGTTCTTTAAGATGCTATACCATGATGCTTTTTTGAAAGAGTTTCATCACCGGAAGCTTTGCTGGGAGGTGAATTTATATCAGCAGAAATTGTGGCCTAAATGGCGAGCTTTTTATACCCGCAATTATTTTACGAAGCCGTGGGCCATTGTTTCTCAGATTGTTGCTGCTATCGTTCTCATCCTAGCGTTCTTGCAAACCATTTATACCATGAAGTGCTGATAAAAAAAAATGTATTCCATGAAGTGATCAATACTTGTTTTAATACCTGTCATATCATGTTGAGACACAAATAAAAATTGTCATGAGTTGGTGATATGTAATATTCGTGATCTGAGGGCTCTTTACCTTCGCTGAATCTCTTATCAAGAATTTGGTTAGAATATAAGGTTTTCTCAATCTCACGGCCAGGCATTTTGTCAAACACCATGCAAGCAACATTAACTTTACTAAAGCTCACAACAATGCTGGGAAATTGCCTCAACCAATTTACTAAATCAAACATCACCAATCTTAGTTTCCATGGTACCCTTCCACTACACGGATCTAGTCACTAATTCAAAATTTAGTATTAAGGGTGAGATGGGTTTTACCGTGATCAGTTTTGGGTTCCATCTTGTATCAATTTCTCTTGTGTGCTTTCTTGTAGGCATATTAAATACTTAGAGAAACAGTAGAATGTTAGACATCTATACAAAATAAATAAATAAATCCTTAGTTACAAGCATCAAGCCTCAGATACCATTCTAGGCATAGCTCATACTTGAACAGAGCAACAAGCTCCTGGAAATGCTTTGCATTAAAGAAAAATTAAACTGCATGATTTGAGTTGAGATCTCTAACTTGAGAATTTTTTATTCAAATTGTTGGATTGTCCCTTTAGAAACAGTGATATCATGTATAAGTTTCTGAAGAATGAAGCAAAGAATAAAGGACTGGAATCCCAATTCTAAGGCGGGAGAGGAATTATATGCTTTTTGGGCTTTCTGGGTGAAAAGTGAAATCATTTAACATTATATATACTTCTTCTATTCACACTTCTACTCTAAATCAGAAGGTAGAACCAATCATGCATAATTTAAGATCTAATTAATGGGCGAATACACTTTTGTTGTATGGCTAAGATTTAAAAAGTAAAAAATGAGAGTGAAGGATTAAACAGCATTTGGAACCCATTTTTGTTGAATTGAACATAAATGAAAACAATCATCAGTTCATCACCGTGGATCTATATATACATATATGCATTCTCTAGCGCATGCTGTAAACCAAAACCGAAATACATCCTTAATATCTAGCCTTGATGTTTATGGGGAATTATTATCCTGGTAGCCCTTACCCCTTCAACTCTCCCTCTTATCGAGGACCCCCTTGCCCCTTCCACCTTCAGCCTTTTTAGGACAGCCCTTAACCCTTCAACCCTTTACCGTAACCATAAGTGTTTTTTTTTTTTTTTTTTTTTTGAACATATTTGCAAGGTGCGGATTTCGAACCCAACCCCGAGAGAAGGGGGAATGCACCGGGGTGGCTATTACCACTAGGCCTCAAAGGCCAGGTGCCCGTAACCATAAGTGTTATACCAATTAAAAAGTGTAATATGTATGAGATTAGTGGGCTCAGCTCATGAGAACCTAGCTCAAACCCAGGATTCCTAAAAATTATTTCAAGTAATTGATTTGCTTGGAAAGTACTCTAGAATGGACAGGTAGCACACTCAAATTGGACGAACAGGTACCCCCTCCACTCATTCTTTCTCATTACACACACTTACCTCCTCTCTTTTAGACTCATTCCTTCCTCTAGCTCTTCATTCACACGCATAGAGGGAACATATTTCTCTCCATGGATCAGTGGCAAAGCCAGAAATTTTTGTCAAGAACGGTCGGCTTTTCAAGTCTTAAAATAATATATTATAATTTTGAAAACTTACTTTTATATCATAAATTAAAATAATATTTAACGAGTTTTCATGTTACAAAACCTATTTATAATAGAGTTTACACTAAATGATTAAATTATTTTTTTTCAATATAAACAATCAAAGAGTTTGAAAGAAATTTATCTTTCATTTTGTTGCGAAGTCTCATTTTCGCAATTTTGATGGCAAAAAATGCTCTTTCTGTTGTTATTATAGAAACCGAAAAAGTAAGCACTAAAGTAATTAACTTGCTGTAGAAAATGTTCTTTCTTGTTTTTACAATTGTAAAAATTGCTGTTGTTTTCATATTTTTTTCTTTTTTTATAAGTTAATTACACTTTATACTAGTTTATCTTCTTTTTATACTAGTTTATCTTCTTTTTCTACTAATTTATCCTCCTATTGCTTTTCTCTATATGATGATATCCAAGGTTTTTCCTTTTATTGGGTTCATATTTTTTTTTAATTTTTTTTACTCCGATCCAATTCTATTCCATATAACTTTAATATTATCATAATATTCAATTTTATTTGTAATCTGAACAACTCTAAATCCCTGAAGAAAATTATATAATTTTTTGTGATTGATGCACCAAATACGCACTACTTTTAGGCAAGTGAATTTAATCGATTATACAGTATAATATGAGTAAGATATCGTTTCCTCGAGGACTATTCTACACTACCAAGACAATATTAATCTAATCTAAGTTGAATTAACCAATTAATGGGGTAAAACTAAACTATTTAAAATAAAACTACTTATACTAAAAGAATTAAACTAAATGAATTTTCTAAGTTAAGAAACTATGAATGGGAAGGAACTATGGCTTAGATTTCATTTAATTCTGAATTATGCAACTGTTTAATTAATTTAATTCAAGTTCAAATAATAGTGTTATCGCATGAGATGGCGCATTTTCCTAAATTAATTAACCAGCTTTCTCAAGTCAAGCTAATCCTTCATTTGTTTGCTAAATTAATCATATCTCTAGGTAATTTTAAACAAACTAATGAGCATTAATTCTATGAAAACCTTTAGCTTAAGAAGAAGTAGAGCTACTAACTCTCTTCTCTTCCTCCACTACCACATGTGAGTTAATTACCTCTCAGTCTCATAATCTAGCACACGGTTTATATTATTATTGATCTAATCTACGTAATTCTTTCTCAAGTTCATGCATAAACCACTAAATTAATTGAAAGGTGATCAAGCTCTCAATGCATTAAGCTCAATAACATAAACTCATCATGCAAATAACCAATAAATTTTGAATTAACTAAGAAAAACAATCACATAATCCAAAAATTAAAACTCATCCATCCTTAGTTCAAAGAAATCTAGCCACACATATTTATGTTCTCAACAGCCATAAATAGGAAAACCTAGCAGAAAATCATGATAAAAATCAAGTAAGAATCAACAAAACCCGTCCCAATGGAGAGCAAGCCGAACTGCAATTTTGCGATGAGGAGTGGCGGCGTTGGCTCTTCTATAAACAGATTTGCAATCCTCCCTTGTGTGCCGCGAATAGCTTTGGGTGGCTACCCGTGTCTTCTGCTTGTGAATAGTAAATTCGACTCTCTCTGTATGTTGAGATTTAGGCAGCTGCGTCCTTCCTTCTCAATGTCCAGAGCAATTTCTAGTCCTTCTCTTCTCTCCTCTTTCTTGGTGTGTCGAGCAGCATATATAGATATATATATATATATAAAGAATTAGAAACCCTTATTTCTTCTTAGCCTTAGCAGACATGGGCTTTATTTTGGGCCTGAAATGCTGTCGGCCCACACCTTGGCAACACAACCCAATTCTCTTTATTTTCTGCAATTTGTCCACTGTCGAATCATGCAATTCAACTAAAAACTGTATTGATACAAATAGAACTGGGTTGAACTCATAAAAGATCAATTGTAGCTCTGCTTCTTAGCTTTGCACCCCTCAAGAATCATCTCAATCCGATGCCTAAAGAAAAAGATATGGTTAAATTACTACAGCTTATGCAAATTATCACTTATTGAAAAATTATT